CCCCAAAACCCCAAAACCCCAAAACCCCTACTCAAATAAAACGTTGAAAAATATTAGTAGTACAATTTAGTACTTGGATTATAGCCATCATTATACTTCATAGGGCCACTAGGTACCCATATGTGTTTTGGACGTTCAGGTTTCCGCTTTTTAAGGTATTTCAGGATATTTCTGATATCACCAGCCCGTTTCTTATCATCTGAGAAATCTCTTCTATGATTTTGTTCCTGATAAAATTGAAGGTTGGAGCCTAAATCAATCTCATTTCATGAAAATGTATCCTAAACTACCTTGGGAATGGTGGTTGTCCATCACACTTTTGTGAGCAAAATTGCTGAGACTGTCTCTTATAGCTTTATTCCTATTTTTCCTGTGCTTTTTAAAGGCTTTGGGCATATCTAAACTTAAATATCTATAAATACCAAAATTTGGGTGTAAATTTATTTTATTGTTCAACTGTGGGAAGTACGTCATATTATTCTCCTCACCCGACCTTTCAGGGCTGTTAAACCTTGCCTTAGACAAGTTCCTCATTCGAGATTGTCTATTGCTAGCACCGTGATTAGTACCAGTAGCACACGAGATAGTCTTTGTTCTAGTAGAGAAAATGTTTGACTGAGATCCCTTCTTCTGATTCTTTGCCTTGGGGACTGAAATATTACCAGCTGGGCTCAAATGTCTGATCCCTGAAGTGCTGAGAAGTTTTAGCTTTTGATCAGGATCTAAGGCGATTTTATCCTTCTTAATCTTTCCACGCTTGGCTTTGCCTTTTAGCTTCGCCTGAGATTTATTTAAGGTTTTGGACATTCAGATTGGTACATAGGAGATCCCCTTGGTTTCTTACAAGATCAGCCTGGAGCATGGTAGGACTATTATCAAGATCAGCCTGGATGGTCACCTCTTTGATTTGTCTTTGGGGGATAGGAGTTGAGGAAAATTGAGCTCCAAAATCAGCCATTTCTTTAGGCACCTCGTATTCGAGAGGGTTCATATTCCTAGTCCCTATATTTTTATTACTTCGAGGTAGACTGGGATCTTTCATTTGATTATCATTGTGTTGATGCCCTTGATCTCTAATTCCTGGATTTTTATTATATGTGTTATCAGCTTCTCTATCAATAGGGGCAATAATGTGAGCTTCTTCTTCAGGTTCAGGTATTTCTTGACCAATACTCTCAAATTCTCCTTCTTGCATTTTAGGATTGATCTTAGGAGATTTTAGGTGTTTATAAGGTAAAGGTGTAGTTTCATCTTCTTCATATTCTTCATCACATTGTCTAATGTTTTCTTCTTCAATAAGGGAGTTCTCTAGAGTAAATATCTTCCTAGGCCTTTCTCATTCATCTTCCTGATTTTCCTGATTAATCTCATTAGAATTAGCGTTTTCTCCTTGAAATATGTTATGACTGAAAATGCCTTCATTAACTGTTCCATCGATTAGCTCCATTTTACCGTAGCCATGCTGAATACCGTTGACCCAATTCCCTTTATAAGCACTTCCGTCAGTCCAGACCATTTCTCCATAGCCATTCCTGAGATCATTTTTGTAGTTACCTTGATAGACATTTCCACTAGCCCATCTGAACTCTCCATAACCTTGCTTTTTATCAAGATAGTACTTGCCAACATAAGTATTACTGTTAGCCTTTCTATCTTTGATCCATTTTCCTTCTCCATGCTTCATGCCGTTCGAAAACTGGCCTATATATACAGACCCATTTTTCCAGGTGTATTGGCCTTCTCCATGCGGTTTGCCTGATTCATACTGTCCAATATATACATCTCCGTTTCTAAATTATAAAAAGTGAAAATTTACTTGAAAATGTCGCTACCTTGGCCATGCTTGAGGCCATTCCTCCACTCGCCTTCGTACTTATCGCGGTTACTCCAGACATAGATACCCTTGCCATGAGTTCTACTATCTTTCCATTCTCCAATGTAATACTCTCCATGAAGGCCACGCCAGACACCTTGGCCTTGCTTAAGGCCAAGGTGCCATTGGCCGTCATATGTTTCACCAGTTTGCCACTTGAAAACTCCACCACCATGAGCTTTCCCATCTTTGAAGTCACCTTCATAAATATTGTTGTTATTTGTACCGTTCATATCCTTTGCCGTTCCTTTTGTTGCTGATCCACTGTCCTAGGAATGCTAATATTGGGCAAATTTACCTTCGTAAAGTCTCCCGTTTTTGTAAATCATCACTCCAAAGCCATGCCTGATCTCTTGGGAGTGTCCTCCTCCAAGGTCTTGGAGGAAGACCTCTCCCTTGTAGACAGCATTGTTCATGGGGATTATCCTGAAATTTGGAGACTGCTTAAGACTCGTATAATCAAACAATCTTGATTCAGACACATAGTCGTCATTCACAACTGAGAATGACCCTTTAGACAGTTTATGAGGTTCCTTATCATATGATTTTTCGCTACTTCTTGAAATCAAGCTAAAGCCTACTTGGGTTCATCCTCTCTAGACTGCTCGCAGTCAGGAGATGTTCTGTAGTACAAAAGTTGGGCCTTCTTGCTCTCTGATGCTCCTATCTCATTTTGAAGTTTCGACCTAAAGAGTTTTGAAAAGCTCATCAAAAGCGGAACTCATAGTCTCTGGAATGCTTACTCTTGGTTGGACTTAAGGTTTATGAAATCGCCAAATCGCTTTGAGGAATGGTTAGTGGACCTTATCTTGTGAACTCCTTTGGGATTATTATTTTATATTTGCAGTTTCCTCTTCAGTCTCGTACTTCTTGCTGGATTTCAGCTTGTGCTTTAGCCTATTCCTATACCCTGTAGGGGTGTTTGTGTTTGTCGAAACCCCTTTGAACGTGGCCTTTGATCTCGGGGAAGTGTTTGAAGCTGGCATCTTTTTGAAGTTTAACTTATTTTTCTAGAGTATAAGGTTTATTAGTGTAAATAAAAGTACTTTTGAAATCCTTGAAAGGGTTGGATAGGGCATTTATAGGATTTATGAGATTATCATTGTTCTCAATTTTTTTAAAATTATTCAGATCTTCTTGATATTTGTCTTTATAATTTTCATTATTAACTCTATCCAATCTATCAGCTTCATAATAACCAACACTATCTTTCATAATCCCTTCTACTTGCTCCATTAATTATATTTTTACAAATTCATCCCAAAGAAACCTCAAGGGGTTTTGGGGTTTTGGGGTTTTGGGGTTTTGGGG